TTACAAGTTAACTACAAATTTATATTATTTATTTTAGGTTTTTTCGTGTGTGTGTGTGGAGAGAGAGAGAGAGAGAGAGAGCACTTTCATTTCTTCACTTAATTTTCACTTGGATGCATACATTTTCAAATACTCTTCATCATGCAATCTATCAACCATTCACTGCAAATCATTCAAGTTCTCAGCCAACAATATGGCATAATCTGCATACAGCGGTACAGATACATTTATGTCTTCAGCCAACACACCATTAATAGTACTACAAGCATCCCTTACATAGTTATCCAAAAGTACATCAAACAACCAGGGCAACATCATATATCTTCCTTGCTCAGTGCTGAACCATTTTCTGTGCAATCCAGTTAATCTCATACATGCTTTACCTCCATCATGTGCCACTCTTAACACATTCAGTAACAACCTTCGACTCCATATTCACTAAAAAAAAACCCTCTATACTTCAAGTCTATTAATTTTATCGTACACTTCCTTTAAAACAAATACACAATAAACTTACTTACACTGGTACATTTCTCAGTGTCCTGCTAAAGTACAAAACTCTCTTTTCTACATCCCCAGGCCATTTTCTGCATCCTCATAATTTTGCTAATGGTTGCATCTTGCAATTGTCCTATCAGAGGTCTGCCAAAGACCTTCCCAGGCACTCCCTGGAGTCTTAGTTTAGGAGAACTGGAGCAGCTTTCTTCCATTGTCAGAGACCAAGGCAGTCTTCACACATGTTAAGTAAGTTGCACAGTTACTCACAAACACATCCATATTTTAACTTTGTTCCCATTACAGCATCTACACCTATAGCCTTGCCATTTTTGACATTTTCACAGTATTTATGACTTCCCTTTCCTCATTTTTCTTGGACACTTAAATTTATAGCATTCATATGAATTCTTCTCTTCAGCATATTCCCATACAAAACTCTAAAATACACCCCTCCACATATCCTCACTTTAATTCCATCCCAAAATGTTTTCTCAATTTTATTTTTAATTCCATTCAATCTCCTTTCTTAGCCCTCTTCATTCACTTTCCAAAATAAATGTTTATTTTAATCAAATTCACTCTGCATTTTCTGTTCCTTGCTCTACCTTCTTTATCCTTTTGTTTCTATACACATTATAGAATATCCCCATTTTTGCAGAAAACATTCTCTTATATGCATTTTTTACTTATCCACAGCCTCTTTCACTTCATCATTATACCAAACATCCTTTATCATATTTCCTATTGGTGTAATACCACACATGTTTGTGGCATTCTGTAACAATTTTTTTTCACTCTGTTCCAAGCAGTTTCCATATCCTCTTTCTTTACATCCACTTTCCATCTTCTATACAAAACTTGTACTTCCTTTTCCCATGTTTGTGGCATTCTGTAACAATTTTTTTTCACTCTGTTCCAAGCAGTTTCCATATCCTCTTTCTTTACATCCACTTTCCATCTTCTATACAAAACTTGTACTTCCTTTTCCCTGCAGTCATTTTATTTTCACTCTAGTCTCTTTCACTTCTTTCCTTTTCTTCCATGTTCATTTTTCCTCAAGATCCACTCTTGATAGTCTCAAGAAGGGGTCTGTCACAAATTCAGAACCTCTCATCTGCCTTGTGTGCTTATGAATAGGCTTATGCTATATGTATTTGAAACAGGCCTTTTTCTAAGGTCTGTGAACAGTGAACAGTCTTGGGTCTCCAAATGACCCAAGCACTTTCTCATTCCACTCACCCCTTCCTGTTCCCTAGCAGAAAATTTTTTCCTTGGTCACATTCATTCAGACTGTTGTACAGTGTTTCCACAAAATCATGATTCCTCCATTATCACCATTCCTGGAACATAATATCCAATATCACCAACCAATAAATCCCTACATTCCTACACACCTACAACAACCTAGATAACACCATTTCATACTTTATGACATATATTTTACCCCTTTCATTCATAATTAAACCTAAAATATCCGTTCCCTGCATGTATCATGAACTCCACTTTTCAAGATCAGACTGCCATCATTCAATCTATCATACCCTTCCCCTTTCACTTAGTTTTACATACACATTAATTTCATTTGTTAATTCATACTTAAGGGAGTGTGTGTGTGTGTGGTTCTCACACCACTTTGGTGCTTGACCTTGGAGGATGGAAACCAAAATGGAAGCTTTCTCCCTCTATGATTTCCCAGAAGCCTCTGATACCTGCTCTTTGGGAGGACTAGAAACCCTAAGAAATAGGAGCTGTTTGGACTAAGCAGAAGGCCTGCCAGAAGGTGCCATGGAGCTGAAGGATCCTGAAATATGCCATGCTTTTCCCACATGCCCAAGCCAGGAAATGTTGGTTTAAATAACTGAAGGAATTTTACAATAAACTAATACAAAACAGGATGCCTCTCCAGGCAGTAGGGTATTTGGATCTCTGTGTCTTAGGATTGCTCTGTCTAATAATAAGAAAGACAGTGACCTGTTCTTCAGATAAAGAACTGCCCTGGGTAGAGGAGAACACGTGCTTGGGCAACCAAGCCCAGGAGCTGAGGTTCTCCTTTTTGTATCATTTCTATCATGCTACTGCAACTCTGTGCTTTCCACACCTGTTTTCCTAAACAGGTCCTGTCCAATCTAGGGCTGGTCTAGTTGAAAAGAAAGAAATGGTTCAACCTATTGCTTCACAGAGTGTTCATAAAGGCAATGTTTAAGCCATTCAAACATTGTGCTTCATCCTGAGAACTCCATGGCTGAATCTGAGATTGGCACAATTAATACTTGATTTCTTTTTATTGTCTTGTTTTCATTTTAGAAATGAAACCAAGCTGTGGTTTGCTTTCTGCATCTTGTCATTTGCATACATTTTTTATCTATCCAATTCCATTGGGATTTCAAGTATGTCTCACGTTCATATCCAGAGAAAATAAAATTCAAAGTGCATAATGACACTTATGCCTAGTGACCTCATGCTTTGCAGGGGATTCTGCTTTGCTTGAATCAGCCAAAGACTTTTTGGGTGAAAAAGAATGACATTCATGGAATTTTCAGCATGGCACAAATAGGTGTGCTTGTCATAACTTGGTTGAAACTTAGATTTCTTTTTCTGTATGGATGTGTATAATCATTGTCAATAATCATTTTTTTTGTTTGTTTCTGTTTATCTTTTAGATTATGAGGAAGAGAATACTACTAAATGACATATGGCCAGGCTTACCAATAGGGGGAAAAAAACCACAAGACCTTATTTCACTGAAGGAAGAGGAAGAAAAACTGGAACTGATGTTGTTTGTGAGAAATCCTGTAGACTATGCCCATCTATTCAGTTCAATTCAATTTTGTAGCCTCTTTCTAAAGTTTTTAAATTTAAAGTTGGAAATTCAAACATTATGCAAAAAAATAAACTATAATTATTTTGAGGAGAAAGCTTTTATTCACAAATAATCCACTGTTTCTTTTACTTAAGGTTAATTCATATGACCAGCTACATAATTATTCCATACTGCAGATTAACCACACTATAGTTTTGATTCAGCCAGAAAGTTCTTCAGTTCTACTACAGCAGTGTTTCTCAACCTTGGCAACTTTAAGATATGTGGACTTCAACTCCCAGAATTCCCCATGCTGGCTGCAGAATTCTGGGTTGAAGTCCACATATCTTAGAGTTGCTAAGGTTGAGAAACACTGCACTATAGAAACAAATAATATTCGTTTTGTGGCAGTGCTGACAGCATTCAATTAATGAGCAGAGCAATGCTGCCTTATTGGGGTGGGGGGAAGATTTGGCTCTCAGGATAATGCTCATATCTGTAACTGACAGGTAAAGGAAAAAGCAACGACTGACACTGACGACCACTGCCTAGAGTTGTGGGAGCCATAATAACGTCAGCCCAATTCTGCTATGTCACAGAAAATCCTCCCTGGCATGCCTCTGACACCCACAGTTTCCACCTAGTGTGATGCCATTTCAACAGATATGACAGTACAGATTGTTATTGGTGTTTCAGGGAAACTGTGGCAGTGAAGTGTCATCCCACAGGCAGAGTCCCTGCTGGGTCAGCAAAGTGGCTTCCAGGTGCATTCCATGGTTAGTTCCGGGAAAGATAAAGATTTTTCCTAAAATTCTGGTTCCTGTAGGCACTTTGTCATTTTGATAGCGTAATACATCTTAGGGTTATACGTACTTCAGAACTGATTTGGAAGAATTGCTTTAGATTTTGCATGAGTACTGATTGAGCAGTCTGACCTCTTCAGGCTTTGTATGAACCTGAAAAAAGTTGCCTCTGCTTTGAGAAGTCAACCATTAAAGTTCATGGGAATCTTAAAGCAGCTGCATCAGGATCCCCTCCACCCCCAGGCTCCTGTAAAAAGTTGAAAACAACAACAACAACAGTTGGCTGGTGTGGGTCTTCCGGGCTGTGTGGCCGTGTTCTGGAAGTTTTGTTTCCTAATGTTTCGCCCACATCTCTTGCTCAGCGTCCTTCAACAATCCGGTTTTCTAACTCTCTCGCTTTTCTGTTTTTCTTCTTCAATTTGGTCGCTCCGACTGTTGTGCG